TGTACCTCCCTGTCTTTCTTCATAGACTGACAGATTCACAAGGGGTTTATTTCAAATGCATAGCTTTTATAAACATAGAACATTATTCTCCCACTGATCTTTTAACGTACAGTAATGGAATCATATCCCAAACCACCCCTTTTTTGGAAGTATAGCCTGCCTGCTGGCTTGGAAAGCAAGGGACCTAAAACCAACCTTTCCATGATAATGGCACAGAATATTCTACATATTTTGGAGCAATATTTCCCCACCAGCATAACTCTATCACATGGCACAGCCACACTTGGTATAACCTTCAGGCACCAGTTCTGACAACTCTAATGCAGCCTGGTTTTCTTCCCCTAAAATAGCACATATTAAAATGTATACCGCTGCCAAGATGTTTTGATGTGGATTATCAAGTACAGAATTTTTTATTTAAAAGTCACATTGTGTAGCAAAAGAACTGGAGAACTTCAGGGGGAGGGGAGAGAGAAAATGCAGATAATCTTTCCTTCTGCCTTTTCATTCAATGGTACAGAACTAAAATAGAACTAATATGTAGCAGAAAGGCTGATGTTTTTGCTGCAAGATGTTGCCCTTTGTCCTTTCTTCAGACTCCTGATTTAGAAAACCTGCTTTAGATTTCCCTGCTGAAAAACATTTGCATAATCAACAGAACATACTGTAGAAGATCAATTATTACTCTGGGTGGCACTTAAGATTTGCCTTGCCTTAGTGCAGCCAACTGTGCATTTTCACAAGCAGATGGAGCAAGGCTGGCGAACCATCCCACCTGTTTCCATGTCGCTGAAGGATTTTCATGAAAGCTTTAGACAAAAACAGTTTATTTTCAGATGTTAAGGCATTCTGCTTACCAGCTGTCTGTCTAACCCGTCTGACCCTAAGTTCTTCACTAGCCCTGTAGACACACTCTAATGTTACTTTCCTCGTGGTTGTGGTTAACTTGTCACCTTGGGAAATTAAAAACATCTTTGCCTAAGCTGTGAAATGTCTGGATTTTTTTAATGCCTTAAGAATCTTTTTTGGCTTAGATACTAATGGTGGGAGGGACATAACTGCAAATTACTCAGCAAAGGTGAAGAAAAGCCTTACTTCAGCTTTTCTTCACCTTTGTTAACATTTTTATGACACAGCTTCCATGAGATAAGGCAGTGTTTCAGCAAAAAATGTGGCAGTCCTTCTGCAGCTACTTCTGAAATTCTGGCAGCTACAGTATCGCCATGAACCATAAAACAAAGCTAGTGCAACAGAAAAGAGGTAGCCAATTATAAATCTTTAGAAGGAAAGCTGATGGATACCAACAAATAAACTTATACAGAGGTTTCTGTGATACTGTACAAAACCTGGTCCAAACATTTTTTACAGTTCGCACCAACACCGGATGACAAAGACCAACATTCCCTCTAATTTTCAGCCCCGCTCCACCCCTCGCATGTGCCACTCCACACACCTCCAAGGATGACTCTGCCCTCCCATGCGGGGTTCCGTCACAACCAGAAGGCTGGAAACAATCACTGTGGGTGTGTGGAAGAGGAGGAATGCTGCACAAAGGGGGCAGGGTGGCACGCGTACAGCCGCACACCTTAGAGGGAACCTTGATACAGAAACAAAATTATTTTTGTTCATTTTTATAGGCCAGAATCCTATTAGCTAGCTACACCAGCATTAGCCTAATGGCATAGGCTACAGTAGCAAATTGCCATGAATTAACAACTTCCAGCTGGCTGAATAACTCAGTGATTTTGGTATCTGGAATGAAGGGGTTGGGATTTGGATTCTCCACTGTGCCTTCTGGAAGAAAAGCCAGCCTGTGTGGCCTTGGGCAAGCTGCAAAGTCCCAGGGCAACCCCAGAAGAAGGGAATGAAAAATAGACTTCTAAGTACTCTCTACCTAGAAAACCCTGAAAAGGGTGAATATAAGTCAGAATTGACTTGATAGCACAAGGTGATTATTTTTCCTAACAACTTATCCTATGATCCCTCATCACATACCAACTCATGCAATTGGTGCATGAGGAGGAATACAAGTGGCAACTTAAGGCCAATTCCCCCTAATCAGCAAAGTCACACTTGTGGAGATATGCTGAGGATCAGACAGGTTTGAAACAGTGATATTCATCATTCCCCACATCATAAGATCTCGATTTTAGGGAATCTTCATCTCCCATCTGGTCACATCTCTGGGTTAATACAGAATACATATTATTTACTTTACTTTTATTAGACTTATACCCCGCCCCCCCCAGACAAGGTCTACTCGAGGCGGCTCACATAAATAATAAAACACAACCTGGGGTTCAAATCCCAGTTAGCCGGCTCAAGGCTGACTCAGCCTTCCATCCTTCCGAGGTCGGTAAAATGCAAGTTAATAAAACCCTTCAAAACTTAACACTTTTATCAAGAAGCAACTTACCAGAGCAGGACATAACTACTTCAGAAGCCATCTAGTTTAGGGCATCAACTCTCCAAAATCCCAGACAGCATGGTCAATGGTCAGGGATAATGGGAAGTACAGTCCAAAACATCATATATGACATTCTCGAGATGTGTTAAGCTATTCATCCATAATGCCCTGTTAATTCTGTAACGAACAGAATTTTACCTCATATGATAAAATCATATATTTTTGATAAATATATCAAAATACCTTGATAAATGAGAAGGAATTGATCTCTACTATTCACCACTCTGCAGGACACTGTAACTCACACGATATGTTACTGCCATATGGAAAATAATCAGGTGCAGTCCCCATTTTACAGGGACTACTAAGAAATTAATCCAGACTATTTCCTTTAAACAAATAAAAATATGTCCATCTTCATTTTGGAAAACTCAGAGCTGCTTGTGCGGTGCTGACCCCAATTTTATCCTCAGGAAACCATTAAACTAAGGGAGAGTGAAAATCCCCAAAGCCAGCCAGTGAACTTCACACAGCTCAGAGAAGATTAAATGCCCACTCCCACCAAAGGCCTATTTTAGGGTGAGACAGGAAATACAGAGACTTGTTCCTTTGCAAATATACTTCTGTTTCCTCAGCTGCCATGTTGAACAGGAAACAAGAGCAGGTTAATCTCGACCACCCCTACCATTAAAGTGAACTGGCTGCCTCTCGCAGTTGATTTTGAGTGTGTTCTGTGAAAAGATAGAAACTATGTTATTCAATTTACTATTGCTTTCTTGTGGTTATATTTTGACAGCAAACATATTTGTTGTTTAATTCATTATTGTTGCATTATTGCTGTGTTTTAAAGTGAGGAAGGGAGAATGCCACTTACCGGCATTTCTGCCTCTGATGCCAAATTAACTATGTAGCTAAATAGAGTGCCATTTGCTCTTCTACATTTGTTTCTGTTAATGAGACCACAATGCTATCAGATACTGAACTTTTCACTTAGCAGACTCCTCCCGCACCAATGTTTATTGTTTTATTATTTATTTTATTCAGTTACACTACAGTACTGAATTTATCCAGTCATTCATGAACAATACACTCCCCAAGTGGTTCACAAAATATACTGTGTTTGTTGGATAAACTGTGTTTATCGAATTAGCCTATTTTTTGCTTATGGCTGAGCACATTCCTCCTGAGAATAACAACACTGTTGAGAATTATAAAAACCAACAACTTTATTTTGGCATGTGCTTTTACATAAGAATTATCAGATTACTTTGTTCTTCACCACAAGATCCACCAACCACAGACAGCAGGAAAAAATTTACAATTAAGCACCAAGGAATTTGTTTCCAGTACCCCAGCAGTCCTTTTACATTAAATTCCAGATGCGGTTAGCTCATTTTTTTGGTCATTTTAGCAGCCTAAGTTAAGTTGAAAAAGTCATGATATTGCTACAATGGCATATAGGTGGGAGTCGGAAACCATTGTCAGCCCACTAAAAACAACACAGGAATTTACCAGTACCCCCAGTACCTTGAACCTACCTTGTCGGATCCAACCCCATCTTAAAAAAGGAGTTCAAAGTGTAGCCTTGTGGACAAAGTCTTTGGTGTTAATCTAATGTGGTTAGCTCATTTTTTTTGTCATTTTAGCAGCCTAAGTAAAGTTGAAAAAGTCATGATATTGCTACAATGGCATATAGGTGGGAGTCGGAAACCATTGTCAGCCCACTAAAAACAACACAGGAATTTACCAGTACCCCCAGTACCTTGAACCTACCTTGTCGGATCCAACCCCATCTTAAAAAAGGAGTTCAAAGTGTAGCCTTGTGGACAAAGTCTTTGGTGTTAATCTCAGGTTTACAAGAAATGCAAAACTTTGGTGAAGTTACTTTTTTGGACTCTGTGTATGCTTTGTGCTGTCAAGTCAGAATCAACTTACAGCAACCCTAAGCGAGTTTTCAAAGTAAATGAGATATTTAAGGAGTGGCTTTACCAGTTCCACTCTCCAAGTCAATTTCTATGGCTCAGTGGAGATTTGAACCTTATTCTCCAGAGTCCTGGTCCATCACTATGTCTTAGTAAATTTGATGGAAAAGCTGAGAGTAAAATTATACCAGGAGACTAGGTAAAGTTGCATAGCCAACAAAACCAGTAGCCATGTCAGGGTTATAGCCCATAAAGATAATGTTACCAATATCTGACAAATACGAAAATAAGATGCCATAAACTATTATTACAGAATACTGTAGATGATGAAGGTAATGTATTCTAGAAATGATTAAATCAAGACTATAGGAGGAAAGTTTCATGAAGCATACAGTATCCTGAGTGAAAAAAATAAATAAATGCCCTTTTCATTAGATGAAACAGATGTGCCTTCACAAGTTCTTAAGGCCCATTTTGCTTGCAATCACTAAGACTGATGGTCTATTGATGACATCAATTTTCAAGAGAGATCCATCTCTACCCTGTAGCGCATCCTATTCCCCCATCACCATTAGCTTTGCTGTGTAGCATTTTCCTTCTGGAAGTCTCAAACTGTGACATCAGAGAGGCAGAACAGAGAGAGAAAGTGTTCAGCACACAGAGGGACTTACCAAATAAACGTTGATGGAAGAGGAACTTGCCCGCTATCAGTCCTGTGAGGATGGCAAGTAGCCACAGGAACACTTTTAGAAACCTCCAGCCTCCTCCCTCAGGGTACTTATTTGATACAAATGAAAAGCAGTTCCCAACAACGATGACATTAGCTTCAGTTTGACTGTGAGACACTGGATCCTCAGCAAATATTAAAAAGTTGAAGAAGATCACCAGATAGGCCACAATTAAGCGGGACCACGGATGCTGGAAATAATAGCGAAAGTCTTTGCCCATCCTCAGACACTCTGGCCCCTGCACATAACAATAAAACAAGTACACAATTTTGCGTTAGATCCAATGCTGAGCATTGTGCTTATATATCATCACCTCCGTCTCCCCGGCCACTTTTTTTCTTTAGAAGGCTTTTGAACTGCCCACCTTTTTCCTCAAATCCTCTTTCCCATGAATTGACAAAAACTCTGTTGATGCCCACGTCCCGCACATTGATGGCAGCAGAGAATGAAATAATGTTGCTGGGGTAAATTTTGAGGTGCTAATCATAACCGGCTTCCTACTTCCCCCATCACTAAGGGGCATTTAAAAATGTAGACAACTGTATTGAGCCATATCAAGAAATCAACTCTAGAAGCTTTTATATTCTACACACAAACACACCCCGCAGGATTGGGTCTTTTGTGAAGCTTACAGGCCTTAATTGCTCATTCAATAACAAACCACTATAAAACATTTCTCCTAGCAGAGAAAATTCACAACATTGTAGCCAGCTCTTGAGAGGCTTTCAGCTAGCTTTAGGAAAGGTGGAAAAACTTCAAAGGAGCAGGTAACAACTAGCACCATTGGCCCTAGTGATGATGCGACCCCAAGAGCCCTGGCTTTACTACACTAGTGGAATGGAGTCTCTCACCTAAGTGCACTTTCATCCATTAAATGAAAAGCAGCTCTTGCTGCAATCAATATAGAATATGAATACAAAACGCAGCTAGGCCAGAATGATTGTTCCCATAACAAATACAGTATTTCTCTTTCACTTTTCTTCTGCATTAACTGTGGTAAAAAGTCAAACCAGGCTCATGTGACCAAAATCCTACTGGAATGAATAGACCATATATTAATTGCAGGCTGCAACTCACTTGTTCTGTCCATTTCAATGGGAAATAAGGCCTTACTTCCTTTCTCTATATTTTGGCTATTATTCAATAGTGCAAGAAAAACCAAGCCAATCTAAGCCCAAAGCAAGAATTCCAATATCCAGACACATGACAGGTTCTAAGAACTTCACTGTAAGGACACTATTTATCATCTAATGGTGCAACACTATGCAAGTCCACTCAGACGGTAGAGAGGCTGGGGTGCCCCTCTACTGTTAAGAGCTGCCTGTGGTACCCCCATGCTATGCTTCACCTAGGGTAGCAAAACTATCTTAGGTCAGGCTTGTGTCCATACAAGTGCATACACAACTGGCATTCCAAATGAATACTGGGAGCTGAGATAACAAGAAAACTCAAAATAAAGCTATTTTGAAAATGTATGGCCTAGATAAGGTGGGCCTCTTCTCAGCAGTTGACCCCATATTGAGATAAGGAACAATCTCATGCTTACTAAAAAGCGTAACTTGTGCATTGCATTTAATCTTGCAGTCAGCTCATTATGGGTCTACTCTGGACAATTCCCCCCTTATTTATAAGCCATTATGTAGACGACATAAGATATTCGAGACACTTGAAAACTACACACTCCTAGGATAGGTGGAATAATACCCTTTCATGTCTACAGTAATTCACTTGACATAAAATCTAGTAGCTAAATTCAGTGGTTAGCCCCAACTGGAGTAGAGTACCTGAAAAAAATATGTCCTGCCAAGTCAATATTTACAGAAATCCTGAATTCAATGGGTCTACTCTAATTGAGCTTCACCACTGGATGTAGCTGTAGGTGATAAGTGAAACATTGGTCCCAACATGGGAGGAAGACTTCCACTTGTGTTTTGCTGCCAGGTAGATGCTTCCATGAGTGCAATAGCCCTGTTTAATCAGTGCTTCTAATTGTGGAAGCGGAGAGGGTAGAAATCCATTGCAAACCTTCCCATACAACATGGACAAATCAGGAATCAATGGAGTCTGGCCAACAGGCAGAAAGACATGGGCTTGAAGTGCACCACCTACCCCTTGTCCTTACGACTGCCTATCCTGTTCAGTCATATTCAAGCCTTCTATGTTCTGCCAAAACAGAGGAAGAATAGGATATCTAACTGCTTGGCTGAGTGCAACTTTTTGTAGAAAAATAAAATGTGGAGAAAGACTCTATATGCACGAGTACTGTACTGTACACTTGCAAACTGATTTAGGGTTTCATAAACTTGAATAAATCCTAAGGAAATACATGCCACTAATTTTCCGTTTGCAGTATTTCCAAAGATCATTGGGGCTCTAATAAACAATATTTTCTGGGAAAACTGAACTTCAGTAAAGCAAATTAAAACTAAATAAATGGGTTGTTTCATCAAAAGTGCATGGCCCATTCATTCCACAGCTTCATTCCGCATTCAAAAAATCCAATCCAAACCAAAACAGAAACTATTGTTCTCTTTTCCATGGTTGGGTGCCAGTAAATAGACCAATAAATCTTTAAGAAGAATGTGGTAGGACAAATTGAGAGTAACAATGCAACAATGTCAAAGTCACAGGAACTAGAAAAACAAGGTTTAAGCCACAAGAGAATTATTTCCAAGATATTTTTCCATGTCATAATATCACCCTGGTAAACAATACTCTTGATAATGTGCCATTGCTGCAATATGATTTGAACAATTAATATTTTTCCAGGTCATGATTTCAAACATAACCTAAATCACTCAGAAAGTTGTCTAGCTGTTTTAAGAATGCTTCCTGTCAGGTTTCAAGTTAGGGCATTCTTGCAACTCAACTTAGATTTTCTCCCACTCATTGATCAAATTAGACGCTGTATATACAGTTTCTTCAGGCAATGCAGGTATATGAGGACACAAAACAAAAGAATGGAAGTGCTGAGCATAATTTGAAAGCTTCCATGTTTCAAGGAACTTTTCACAGGTACAAATTCAGAATACAAACATCTGAAATATCTTAGCAAGATTCCAGATGAATAAAGAGTAAGCAAGAGTGAATACATTTGTATTAATTTCCCATGCCTGAAAAAAGGATAGGGACATTTATTTTTTAAAAAAGTGGAAAAAGCAAAGAAAGGAAAAGAAAAGAAAAAATAAAAACATAAGGAGGAACACTGAGGCAAGTAAACATACATAGCTGAGCACTGCTAGATACAATATTTCTAGATGTGGATGAGGACACTTACAAAGTCCCTTTATTATGCGAACCTGTAATCTCCATCATCTCCATAAACAACGCCAAAAAACTAGCTTTAAAACAAAAAGGTAGAATACTGAAGCGCTCAGATATTAGTGCATTCCATGTTGTTGGAGAGACAACAAAAGGGCTCGCCCGACCTCTAGATGTAACCTGATAAAAGGTCTCCTCGGGTGTAACTGTACAGTATTGGCAGAAATCACAAGAGCCTCTGCGACGGTCAGGAGCAGTTACCTTTCTTCGCTATCAGCTCTACATAACCCAGGGATCAATCCCGCCGGCCAGCAGTACTCTTCAAGCCCGGAACGGAACCGCGAGCATGTGCAGAGTGCCTTGCCTTTAACGCCGCTCTCCCACGTGTCCGAGGACCAACCTCCCCACCCCCCCGGCGCAGAGGACGCGGCACCTTTTCTGTTTCCAATGGAAGCGCCCTTGCCGCCCGGAGGAAAAGCCAACTCGCGGTGGGAGAGTCCAACGGCGGGGGGCCGAAGGGGGGGGTTAAAGCAGGGCCGGCTCCCGCCAGGAACCCGGGGCGGAACCCACAGCGCCGCGAGGAACCCGGGCGCGTCTACTCACCAGGACCTGCGAGCCGCGTTTTGCTCCCGGACCGGACCAAGCCGAACCGTTCCTCCGGTCCCGAGCCGGCACGACCGGACCGGACCGGACCTGGCTTCGTCGCGAGAAGGCTGCCGCCCCTTGCCTTATAAATACGCCGCCGAGGACAACTTGACCCCGGAGCGGGTCCACCCACGCCCTCCTCCTCCCGCGGCCAGGGTGGCCTTTCGAGAAGGTTGACGGTCCCCGCGCGGAGCGAAAGCCTCAGGCCTCCTCCTCCTTCGCCTCCTCACAAGAACGGGATGGAGAGCGCGGCGGCGGCGACAAGGCCGGTGACGACGGGAAGCGGAGCTCTCCCGCAGGCGAAGGCGGCGAAGGCGGCGACTCCCTCCTTCCCTCCCTCTCCAGGCCTGGGTGAAGGAGCCCGGGCGGGGAGGCGGGGAGGTTGGCTGGACATCTTTTAGGCGTTTTATTTTCCGAGCCCAAAGGGAAATGGGAGGCATTGCGGGGCGCAGACGAGAGAAGGCGTGAGCCAGGCCGGCCGGCTTTACCTTCCCGCCAGGCTAGCTAGCTGAGCATGTGCAGAGTGCCATATTGGATAGGATCCCGGCCTTCCGATATGCTCTGCATTTTCCCTCCCAACTTTATGTATGATCAAAACAAAAAAAAAATCGCAGTACAATTTCACGTGGAGTGCTTTCCTTCCACAGTAAGTGTGACCAGTGTCGTAGACTCAAGTCACTTTGGACATGGATTGATGGCCTTCCGATATGCTTTGCATTTTCCCTCCCATCTTTATGTATGATCAAAACAAAAAAACTCGCAGTACAACTTCACGTTGGAGTGCTTTCCTTCCACAGTAAATGTGACCAGTGTCCTAGACTCAAGTCACTTTGGACATGGATTGATAGGTTTTTGAGGTGCTCATGGACCACTGCCATCACCCAGTGAGTTTCCATGGCCAAGCAGGGATTTGAAACCAGCTCTCTTAAATCCTAGTTTGTCAGCCTATCCACTACACCAAACTGAGTCTTAGGGCTGCCCTAAATCATTACATTAAGTACCACTTCTGATTTATGGTGACCCCATTAAGTCATAAATAGGAAACAGCTTTAAGGGCACATGTTATAATGTAACAATACTCCACCATTTAGAATAGCTTAACCCCTGTTAAACTGCCAGAAGAAGTAAATATAGACTGTGTAGCCATATAAAATAACACCAGCTGAAAAAAGGAACAATGAAGTCATCCAAAAGTTAATTGGAATGGGAAATGACTTAGGACTCTATTAAAAACCAATAGAAAGGGAGTGAGATGAATGGGAAGAGAGTCCCAGTGTGATAGTGCTACTGCCCAAATGGCCATGTCTCACCTATCCAGCAGTTCTTGCCAAAAGACCAGATAAGAGTCTCGGAAGCAGTTTCAAAGATTTATGTGTTTTAGAAGTTCAGATGTCCAGATAGCTTGGTTTGAACCCACTGAGGGAATTGAAGAAATGACAGCATCTTTTCTATGCATCTCTCAAATGTACAGAAGCTGTTAGGGATGTGGATAAAGGTAGAGGTTCTCCTTGACAATTTGTCCAATTGTGTTCGACTTTAGGGGGCGGTGCCCATCCCCGTTTCCTAGCCATAAAGCCAGCATTTTGTCCAGAGACAATCTTCTTCTATGTATCTCTCAAAGGTACAGAAGCTGTTTAGGGATGTGGATAAAGGTAAAGGTTCCCCTTGACAATTTTTGTCCAGTCGTGTTCGACTCTAGGGGGCGGTGCTCATCCCCGTTTCCAAGCCATAGAGCCAGTGTTTTGTCCGAAGACAATCTTCCGCGGTCACATGGCCAGTGCGACTTAGACACGGAACGCTGTTACCTTCCCACCGAGGTGGTCCCTATTTATCTACTTGCATTTTTACATGCTTTTGAACCGCTAGGTTGGCGGGAATTGGGACAAGCGACAGGCGCTCACTCCGTCGCGTGGATTTGATCTTACAGCTAAAGATCTACAGACCTTACAGCACAGAGGCTTCTGCGGTTTAACCCGCAGCAGCACCACATCCCCCTGAGGGATGTGGATAGAACAACCCAATTACTTCACCTTTAATCTGTTAATAACTAATGACATACCTGTGACAGGGGAGGAGCAAACTGGAAGAAAATCCTAGATGCAGTAAAAACAAAGTTGGAGGTAGCCATTTTGTTTTGTTCCAGGAGAACAAAACAAAATTCTCTCGGAAGAAGCTGTACCTTTATTAGGAAAATAGAAGCTTCATGAAGTGTTGTAAAACTTGTGAAGCATGCATGTTTTGAATTTTCTGGGATTCTTTCTTAGAGAAGGTTGTACAGAAAATGGGGAGAAGGGGTGCAGAAGCCCAGTGTTGGTCAGATGTTGTGTCCACTGGGTTTGCAATTAATACTGACCCCAAGATGGAGATTGCAAAGTCAATGGTAAGTGTAGAAGTATCAGATTACACCTGAAATACATACAGGAATGGAGTAGAGATGGAGGGTGTCCCCCTTCCACACTATCTCTGAGAATGCAAGGCGGGCCTCATCAGGGAGATCTGACTGATACATTGTATTTGTGATCTGTGTTCACAAATACACCATGCTTACCCAGATTATCCCTTTCAGTAGATGCTGCTGCACCTGGAACCAGATTCTGGAACAAGATTAGATTCAACCTCAGTAGGTTCTTCAGGGGCAGCAATTACTTTTGGCTGCACCTTCTCCTGCTCACAGGAATTAATGACATTAAAAGGCTGCGTTCATGGAAAATGCTGGAGGATGTAGGGGTTAACTTTTCTCCAGCCTTCGGGGGAGGACAGCTGTCCAACATGTACCCATTTCCTAACATTCTTGCAAATAGGCTCATGTTTATACTGTATTCACTATAAAACTCAATGGGGACTACTGAGAACCAAGTGTATATGACACCATTCGGAATTGGCTTGATATTTAGAGCTTACTTCCCCACCCTAATTAAAAAAAACAACTAGCTACCATCCCTGCAACCTGTGCCAGCTGACCCACCTCAATGGCTCAATTTTCACTCTTTTATCTGGGTGTCTTGAGCTATTGTTTTCAAAATAAGTACCACTTAACTCAATGAAACTTAACTCTAAGTAATAAACCTAACTAGAATTGAGAAGCTTGCTGAAATTCTTAAGGGAAAGTATGCTGCTGAATATACCAATGGAGCTATTGTTGTTCTCAAGCAAAATACTAAATCTCTACCCAAAATAACATTTCTCCCCTTTCATCTAAAGAAGTAGCTAGAAGTCTGTGCAAGATTATACCAAACAAAATTTGTGAATCTTTAAGGCAGCACAAGATTCTTTGTTGTTTTTCTCTTACAATAAAACTCTACTTGCTACTTGCAAGGGGATTTTCTGTAAGCGCAATTTCCATTTTCTTATCCTATCTGCAATAACAATGACAACTATTATTACTGTTAGCAGCTGTAACAATGCTTAGAGCAGCAATAATTGCTTGCCTGTGGCTTCATGACAAAGAGAAGATTTGAACCAGAGACTTCCTTACAAGTTAAGTCTGGTACCTACTACATTTTTTCACATTTTTTGTCTGTGCCAGCCTTCTCCAATCATTCATTCTCCAGAAATGTAGAAGTATTGGATCATCATCCCCAGGTAGCATGCCAGCGGTCATGCTGGGCTGGGGATCATGGAATTCATAGTGCAGCACATCTTCAGGAAGTAAGAGTGGGGAAAGCTAATAAGTGCTGTTAATAATTGGGGGTAGGGGAATCACAGCTCCAGTCACGAGATCTTTAACAGCTGGTGTTTGTTAATAATCCCTTTATATCACTTTTATTCAGATTGCAATAAATGAGTCATTTTACCAAGAACATAATAAATGGTACTCAAAGTGTATTAAACATTAGCTTACTGTTTAAGTAAATGTATCATTTTGTCTAATGTCGCATGCACATCAAAAAGTGCTGCTCTTTAGAAGCCAGATACCAACCCGTACCTTAAGACAAACTTTAAAACACAGGACTTCACCTTTGCCTAAAATAAAATTTATTTTAATTACAGTTGTTCTGAATCTTTTGATGTTTTGAGTTTTAATTGAAAGTATTCTTTGCAGTAACAAACACAGCTCTTACTAACAGATGACTACCTGGACATACTACGTACTTGGCTAAAAATATTGAAGAGACAGCAAGGCTCCCTTGAAGTTGGTCAATAAATATATCATTTGTTCTGTGCATGTATGTATGCATGTGTGAACATCTGTATTTAACAAGGAGGCTTGTCTGAACAGATCAGAAGATAGTGAATGAGCTTTCCTCACACAACTGGAAATGTGAGAGGAAATGTGGAACCAGTGTGCTAGTTTTGTGGCAGGTGACCATCTGCAGTGCAGCACCAATTCTTATGGATAGATCAGTAGTTTAGGTATCTGGCTGTGGAGCCAGAGGTTGGGAGTTCGATCCCCTATGGTGCTTCCCTGACAGGGGTGGACTCAATTATCCATAGTGTTATTCTAAGGTCATTATATAGACCAACGGTTTGGTTTAAAATTCAAGTCTTGGGAAATTAGATTTCACATAGATAGATAACTCTCTTCCCCTATTCCTTTACCCTTAACTGTGGACCATCTTGCAGGAGAAGCCATAATGGGTAGGCAGTTCTGCTCCTTGTAATGTTTTTGGAAGGTGGTGGACTCTGCTTCATTGGAGACATTTAAACAGAGGCTAGGCCACTGTCTGTCAGGAATGCTGTACATGTGGATTATCTGCTTTGGCAGGGGGTGGAAGCATTGACATTTGGCGTTCATTTCTGCAGCAGGTTTTTGTGATTCCAACTCCCACTGGTCTTAGCCAGAATAGCCAATGGTGAGAAATCATGGAAATTGTAGTTAATGACATCTGTAAGGACATAGTTCCCTCCCCAATCTATGATACCTTCTGAGACCTCTATCATATTTATTTACTCAATGAAAATATATATTTTGCCATCTTTCAGGGCACAATCTCTCTAAGGACACTTCACAAAATAAAGTTTTTAAATATGGTTGCACAAAATGTGAGCCTCCAAATGCTGCAACTTCCATCAGCAATAGCCAGTCAGCCAATAGTAGGTCGTGCAAGAGTTGCAGTAAAACATCTGGAAGAACTTACTTTACTTACATGTGGTTGAAAGAATAAAGGGAAAATATCATTTAAAATAGCATTGAAATAACCACAACAGGATAACACTAAAAATGGTTGCAATGCATGCAAATAATGGTTATAGTCAAACCTGGACAACAGATTCCAGAAAATCACATACTGTATATACTGTGAGAAAATCACTTGAATATATATACCCAGCTTCATTCCTGCTTTTTATCTAATTTAGGCATAGAGGTGGATATCTTCGACAGGTGCCTTACTTAAGTCACCAATGAATTAGGCAGAGGCTAATAAACTGAACATCAGTCCAAACAAGATAAAAACACAAATGCTAGAGTATTAATGAGGTATTCATCATGTATTCGCGAAGGCTTTCACAGCCAGGGTCTAATGGTTGTTGTGGGTTTTTCGGGCTCTTTGGCTGTGTTCTGAAGGTTGTTCTTCCTAAAGTTTCGCCAGTCTCTGTGGCCAGCATCTTCATCTTGCTCCTAAGAAAGATGTCCGGATTCTTACAGATCAGGTACAATGCTTGGGTAAGCTGTTTACATCATATCCTGGAAAATGGTGCCCAAACAGCCTTTATGGCCAGAAATATCCTTTTGTGTTGAGATGGGGAAACTGTGTCTTTTGGACTACAACTCCCAGAATGGTTGGCGGTGCTGGTGATGTCCATGCATTGTGTAAGGTGTTATTTACAAAAAAATCAAACCTTTGTTCTGCTGGTGCTTTGTTCAGCACTATTTTCCATGCATTTATAGGTTCCAGATTGGAATACTGGAAGGTACTCTACATAAGCTTGTCCCTGAAAATATTCAGAAAGGTATTTCAATTTGTTTCAAAATTTAGCAGCAAGCTTGTTAACTGCAAGTTATCATACCTGAAGCAATGTTTAAAGACTAGCAATGGTTTTTAGTTTTGGGGTGCAGCAGAATTGTAAATGAGTTTGTTTACCCATAAAAACCAAAATAGCCTAGCTTCAGAGAAACCCTGGGTTTCTTCTGTATGACCTTAATAATCTACTGAAGTCATCACCAGAGGCCATGTTCCAAATACCTTCAGAGATTAGACAGATCACTACCAGAAGTAGCTCTTATTATGTGGTAGCATTTATTCCATAAACATTTGTTGGGCACCTGCTCTTTTTAGCTCTTCAGCAATGTTAAGATTATTATGTAAGGAAAAAGAAAACAAGGACCCAATTAAAGACACGAGTACTGTACAAAGAATAGGATCTAGGATATAAAAATATTTACAAACCATTTAATGGAATGTAACGAATTGGCTAAATGCACTCAATATGAAAACATCTGTGACGTATGGAATGCTAGAGAGAATATATATATATTGTACCTTGGTTACTTCCATACAGTAATAACAAATGGGTCTGTAATATGCATAATGCCAAGCATACTTTTTACAGATGGCAAGCAATGGTAGTCCATAGCTGGAAGAAAAGATAGCCTGTAGGAACATGGCTCCTAGTTGGCACAGATGAACAGACCAAATATGGGTAGCTCAACAAGCCAGTATATAAATTATCAACACGGCAAACAGAAATCCTGGTTCTGAGCTGCTGTTTGATTGATCTTCATCAATAAAACAGCTGGCTGCAATCCGTGCAGCATGTTCAAGAAATTCCTTTCTACCAGGCATGATAAACTTGGACAATAACAAATGCTGTACAGCTGCTGGTGTGGAAATCTGACATATGTTCATGAATTTGGGGGCAGATCACGTAGGTTGTCCCTTACTTAGCTCCTCCTAAAGCCTAACAACTGGAATGGGAAACCTCCAGCTCGGAGGCCTAATCTCCTTGGAATCCTCTGATGTGTATTAGATCCTTTTGCTTGCTACCCCTTACGCCCCCTTTCATTCCACAATCAGATTTTGCTGGAAAGCCATGCTTATTTCCCACCTCGTTTCCATCCTTTCCTTCTATGTCAGGCTTCACGGCTGCTCCCTGCTCCCACTATTCTATTAAAACAACCAGTCTTAACAAAACTGAGATTAGCATTCAGTGAGTAAGTAAAGCTGTTGAAGACAGCAGTTGCCTCCTCTCACAGATATTATGTCACTTTATCTCAAAGGCATTATTACCTGCTTGAAAACCAATTCCACTTGGGAATCCCTGAACTATAGCTACTCTATTGGCTATATCTTCTACTAGAAGAGGATGTAAACAGGCATGTTGTGAACCAAAACCTGCCACTACCTGTGCTGTAAGTCAGAAATAATGTAATTCAACAAGACCGTAATGTTATTTTCAGAATTATTGGTATCGGATGGGAGTAACGACTGGCCACTTCACATAGTATTGCTATGGATGCACTCTAGCCTGGTTAATGTCCAAGAATGCATCTACAGTGGGCAGAGCAGTTCAAACGCTCCAACACTAAAATCATCTTTTGGTGCAAAGAGTTCTTTGTTCCTTGATGATAATTATCTCCCACTGTTTCTAAATGATCAGCGCAAAGGGTTATATAACCCTAACTGCTAGTGAATAGTTTCTGCTTTCCACAATGGTGAAGAAGATTGTAACTGCTACTGGAACTCTGCTTTTCCCTGTCCAACGTTTGTTCAAACTGTGGACAAATAATGGGATTCACACAGTCCCATGTTCATAGCCATGGCTTCTGAACAGCCAGCTATTATCCAAGCCTGACCTGTCATGGCCTGCAGTGTAATTTTGCTAATCCGAGAGGATGTCTAGTGAATGAGCTTTTTTGGCACAGAATAAAGCAGTGTCTTCATTTTTATTGTTCACAACAAAAATCTTCGAATCAAGCAAACGGATAGTGCAGTTATAGCACTGTTATTAAAAATGTGATGTTATGTCATTAAATTCAGTGGGATCTCTGTCAAAATTAAACAAGGAATTGGGTCCATTGAGGAAGCTTTAAGGTCCAACGAGGTGGGCATTTGTCTGAGCTCCTGAATGATCATTAGACGGCCAGTGGAAGCAGGAAATCCAACTGGCCTAGTTTTGAGACTTTTCTCTTTCTTGCCCCTTCCTTTAGATTTTTTTTCCTCTTTGACTTTCTTCCACAGAGCCCGAAGAGTTGCAATTAAGAAACGGAGGAAAGCGCACGCTCTCCTGAAAAGCCTTGCCTGGGGAATCGACGTTTTCCCCCTTTTGAACTCAGCCCGGCCTCCTGCCAAGAAGAGCCGCTCACTTCAGCCGGCCCGGTCCCGGCGCCAGTCAAAACTTTTGGACCGCCGCCGCCGCCTCGGAGCTCGGGGCTCCCGGCGCAATTCCCGGCTCAGCGCCCCGGCCGGAAGGAGCTGCCGGCCGGGGAAAGGAATCCGAGGCGCTGAGTGGCGGCGGCGCGTCACGTGAGCGTCCCGGGCCGGTCTGCA